CCCCCCCAAATTAAAAAAATCTCAGCCTCTTGTGGTCTAAGGTTAAGTGGAGGCATCTGAATCCCAAGACATCCAGGCTTGGGCCTGCACATAAGATGCTTGTCAATGGATTAGGGAGTATCTGAAGTCATTGGGGTGAAAGCCTGGGACAGAAGATGCGCGCTGGTTGTAGTGCCATACATGGTGTTTAGAATAATTGAGTTCTTCCTGCTCAATCCATATGGTTTTTGGAATGATTGCATTGTGCCCAATCAATATGATTTAGAACTGATTTGGCTGACTTGACCTGGAACACAAAATGTATTAATAAAAAAATTTCAGTCTTTTTGCCAAGATCAAACATTTTTGGCACCAAGGGGACGGTTTCAGGGCTGGCTCTGGTATTCCTAGCACTCCCTTGTTATTGCAGTACCTCCAAACCCAGTACCAGTTCCATGTGGCAGGAACACCCTCCTGTTTTTCTTTTAAGGGTCAAAAAAAACCCAGGATTCCATCAGCATGTTTGCCCAATAGAGCCAATGTGTTTTATAGTCATGTTCAGTGTTGGTTGAATTTAATCAGCTTCATAGTTGGTTTCCATTACTAAGCACATGCTGCTTTTGACAGCAGTTCAGTGATAGACAATGTATTTAATGAGTTTTTCTTGTATGTGAATGTAAGATAAAGGGCTTTTAAAACCTTATCTTGTATTCGAGTAAATACGGTACCTATTCAGATAGATAGGTGATTATTGCTTAATTGTTCCATCTTGCATAACATTGATCTTTAATAGAAGTGATGATGGTTAGAAACACTTTTGAACAATGTTTTTCAGTTCTTTTAGCTTTTAAAAAACCTCCGAGGTTTTAATTTGTTTATAATTTCTCTGCAAATTATTTTCAGATGAAAATGTGCTACGACAGTTACTTGCCATGATCTACTTTGTTGCTCTCTCTCCCCCACTGTGATTAAATATCATGTTAATAAATAATAGTTTTTAAAGTGTGATTAATGGATTGTAATAATTCAGTAGAGGCTGCAATTAGGATAGGAAATAAATACTGGCATAGCCTATTTACAATGAGTCTTACTATGGCACAGAATAATTAACATACAGTGGGTGCATCTACACATGCACTTTACTGTGGAGTTGACTAATTAGCTCCACAGTAAAGTGTCAGCATCTACACGTGCACCCATAATAGGGGGCAGTAAATTAATTAACTCCGCTCCACTGTAGCTCTCTCATGCCCCAGCCAGCCCCAGTCACAGTCTGCAAGTGTGTTTCAGTATATGTAATTTCTCCATTGTAGGATAGTACTTCTCCCAGACAGTACTATCCTACAATGGAGAAGTTACATGTACTGAAACACACTTGCAGACTGTGACTGGGGCTGGCTGGGGCATGATAGTGCTACAGTGTGGGGGCTGCCTGTCAGGTAGCCTCACACTGAAGTACCTTCATGCTCCAGCCAGCACCTCTGCAGTATGTTGAGCAGGGGCAAAGCAACCCTGGGCTGGCAGGCTGACCCCCAAGGCCTTTGCCCGCCAGGGCTGTGCTGCCTCAGCTCCATGTGCTGGAGTCCCAGGTGCATGTGTAAATGCTACACCCAGGTGCAAGAAACTCTGGTATGAACTGTGCCAGAGTTTATTGCTACATGCTTATTGCACGCGTAGATTTTCTAGCCATACTGAGTACAGTATGGCTAGAAAAACGTCTCCAGGAATGCTGCTTTCTCAAGGTATCAGTAATTTGACAGGACAATACTCCTTAGCCTTTTCCATATTGGAAAGCCCCTGAATTCATCTGACTAAGTTCTAGCTGGGAACTCCTTCTCTTTTGATAGGTGATTATGAATTTCTGATGTTTATGAATTTCTGACGTTTGTTTGTGATCTGCCAGATTGAAAACCCAAGTCCTGCAGGTGTTTAAAAAGGCAGTTTGCTTTTGTGCCAGCACTGTACATCTGGCATGGGATTCCACTCCTCCCTCTACACCAGTGGGGGACAAGCTTTTTGACACCTGTGCCACAAATTAGCCCTGGACCCTTGCCCAATGAGCTGCTCTGCTTTTTTGCCTCCTGCCCTGTGCTGCAGGCTTGGCCTGCTGCTCTGCTTTCCGCCTCCTTTCCTATCTGCTGCTATGCTGCCTGCCCCTCTTTCTGGCCCTGGACAGAGGCTGCCCATGCCACTTGTGGCACATCTGACACAGGTTGGGCCACCCCTGCTCTACAGTATTCCAAGAGAGCTCAGCTGCATTAAAGCGGGCAGGAGAACTCAATTGTTTGTATTCCTCCAAGAGTGAATATAGGAGTGGGCTATTCTTCAGCCACATTAAATAACTAATGACCTTTTTGTCAGTTGATAGAGTAATGGTTCAGATTCTGAATCCAAGTAATCTAATAGATCCATTGAGTTCTGTGAGGTATGCTTGGCTATTAACCCTCAGATACTCTGGTTTGGTAATATTTGAGAAGCTTATGTGGGGAGTTGCATTTTCTGGAGTGGAAAGATGACCCCCCCATAAATTTAAATGTATTTAAAAATATAGGCCCACACAATTAAAACTACAGATCCCTCTATGAATTTTGTTTAATTTTGTTTTCAGTTGTATCTTGCTGCTTATTAAAGGAAGGTTCATTATGCAATCCATGAGCTTGTATGGGAACTAAAATACCTTGATGACCAGCCTGCTTGAGCTAATAATCTTTGGTTCCATTATTTCCAAGGCTGCTCCTATTGTTATTTTGAAGACTTCAAAAATGGTGCATTTGATTACCTGACTAAAATCTATTTTACTGTAAATTGAAACTTGCATTGGAATGTGCATTCTTTATGAAAAAAATAAGAAGATTTTAGAAAGATTAGTTTGCCATATACATTAGTATTTCCCCTAAGTTTTGAGAGGAATTAAAGCAATTTTCAGTTGTATTTCTCTGTATCTCATTTTTCTTTACAGAAATGTGATGAACTCTGGGAAGACTTTCATCAAAAGTTGGTGGATGGGTCATTGCTGACTCTGGATACATACCTGGGACAGTTTCCCGATATAAAAGTACAGTAATGCTTTACTATGGAGGGAAGATTTTAAAGCTTACCAATTACTTTTGTTTCATAAACAGAAGCAATATGAAATAAAGGGTATATAGGAAGGCACCACTCATGTGGCATATGAAACATCCTATTTTATAAGCAGGACCCATTTGCAGACTGAACTGTTTTATTGAATGAACAAAACAAAGTATTTTGCCTTAGGAAGTCAAGGTAAATTAACCTTTTTAGTACAAACGTTTTAAAAAGGTTTTGCTTGCTCCTATAGATATGAGCAGGATAACTTCAGTGATGCTGGATCAAGCCCTTGAGCCATCAAGGAATTATAGAATAACTATTGTGATAAGAAGAGCTTTTCCATGCTCTTGTGGATGTTTAGAAGTCACTGATTTTCTATCTCTGATTTGAAGCCATAAATGGCTTTTGTGGTTTCATCAGTCTCAGTGTCCATAGGGATTGCTGCTATACAGGGCAAAGGTCCTCTTCCATTAGACCATTTTAACCATATCTCCTCTGTAAGGATTTCATAATCACATGTCCCATGTGTCTATGGGATATGGCTGTAACTCCCTTATAACAGAATTATCTATAGTCCTTTCCAGTTTACAGAAGAAGCTAGTCTATACCAAGACAGTTTAGAGTTATGGATGTTCAAAGGTGGCCTAAAGCCCTGAATCTGCTCCTGAGAGATGCCAGGTTTTCATTAGGTACAGCCTAGGATTTGAAGGAAATTTTATGTGCAGTATGCATCATTAGAAAATCAGCAGCTTTCGAAGACCCACTTTTATTGTTATGTTAAATATTGAAAAATAACTATAATAGGTTAATAGGAAATCCCTTTGTATGATGGCAGTATTGAATGGATCAATTTTGTATCAATGGAATCCTAGAGAGATTTGTGTTTGGAAATGTTTTAGGAATGTGAAAAATAATATAATTATTCATTAAATATATATACCACATGATGTAAAAGGAAAGACAATTAGTATCAACATTATAGATTAAAGAGTCAGTTTGCGTTGCTGGAGATTTCTAGCAATACAGATCAAAATATATATAATCAAACTGATATCTAAGGTCCCAGTGGTTAGGCTAGATATACACAAAACCCTTGTCAAGTAATTAATTCTTAATAAATAGGCTCCTTATTAATCTCTTTCCCCAAACTCACTTTAACCATACAATATTACAGCAAATAAAGTTTTGATTGTAAAAGAAGAGTTGTTAGAAAGATTCAAAGACAAATCAAAGCAAAACTTACATCAAGGTTGCACCTATGATAACAGCTCTGAATTTTATTTTTGTAACTCTCTGCAGACTCGCATTGCAAAGCGAAGCAGAAAGCTAGTTGACTACGACAGTGCAAGACATCACTTAGAAGCCTTGCAGAGCTCAAAGAAAAAAGATGAAAGCAGAATTACTAAGGTAATACATTACTTCAAAGTGATACTGGCAGAAGTCAGCTTGAGTTTGGCTAAAATTCACTTTTGTGCAAAGCTTTTATTCAAGGTCTATTCCAATGATCCCCAAAGGGTATGCTACAGCACACTAGTGTGCCAATGAGAGCAATGGAAGTGTGCCACAAGATCCCCCTGTGTGAGGAGGTAAATGCTCTCCTCCCTTGTCTGGCACCCTATCCTGCACCTGCCCCAGCTGCTGGTGCCTTCCCCTACCACTCCCCAGTCAACACCTATGTTGCCCCAGCCTCCCCCTTCCCTCCCTCCTGGGGTCCCAGCAGCACACTCCGCTGCAAGTGGGCAGGCAGGCAGACATACAGGCAGAGCCACGCTTTGCAGGCCAGCTCGTCCCCTCCGCTTCTCCCGCCCTGTAGGTATATTTATAGTTATAAATATTAATTTATACATTTATAACTATAAATATAACTTTTCAGATGTAATATTTATATGTAATATGCTCCTTTGGGGACTGCCACTGCTGCCTTCCCCAACCCCTTCCCAGGGAGCCCACGTGCTGCCTCTGCCCCTCTCACCCATAGAGTCCCAGCAGCACACACTGCTGCAGGCATGCAGGCAGACAGACATACAGATGGAGCCTGTATGTATGCATGTGTGTGTGTACACATACACACACACACACACACACACACACACACTCGTATATATAATAGGTCATTAATATAATTAATTACTATAATTTATGTGAAAGTGGAGAGTGAAATGTATAATATAATATTGTAAGATTTGTATTACAATATACTGAAATATTAATTTATACATGTATAAACATAAATATAATTTTTCATGTGTCAGAGTGAAATATGTCACCAATTTTAATTCAGAAAAAGAAGTGTCCCAGGTATCAAACGTTTAGGAAACACTCATCTGTTCTATACCATTAAAGGAAACAGAACTAGTCATGGATTTAAATTTAATCAAATGCTAACTATTTGGGTGGATTATGGTCAGATTGTTTCTTGAGACGAGGGCCCATTTAAGCCCTAATTTACAGTTTTGACTGGAATATACACATCTGGGGCTGACCTGTGGTACAAGGTGGAATTTGATCTTTTATGAGATTGAAGATTACCTCTGGGAGATCTGCCGTAACCCTTACTCATGTGCGTAATCTCATTGAATGAATAGGATCACTAACGTGAATGAGGTTTTTGTAGGATCATGCCCCAGAATTTTATCTGTCACAGAGTGTAAACTATACAACTATAAGTTAATGACATTACTGAGTGAGTTTTCTATAGACTTGTCTTGTTTTCAGTTTTGTTACAAATTTGGCACTCAATCTATATTCATCAGAAGATTTAATTTAGTCTTGAACCTTTGAAGCAGGCTCCAAAGGTTTAACATTTTTCATTAAATCTATGGGGAACTCATGCCTTTTCACATTTTGGCAGAAGACAGGGCTGAGTTTGCACCTTATGAACTAACTAAAGTTTTAGTTATAAATTTATAAAATTTAATTTTAGTAATAACCTAGTTATAGAGGGGATGGAGAAGAGCTACATTTTAATTATTCTGTGAGGTGCAAATCTACCCTGCCTTCTGCCTGACTTCAGACTAACATGGCTAACTATCTCTCTTTTCACATTTTGAAACAACAAATGGAATTTTACTTCCAGTCTGGGGCATTTACTTCACTGGAACCAGAAGTACTCAGGTATACTATTTGCTAGATCCCTTGCAAACTGAAACAACTGCATTTGCACAGAAGCCTGAAGTACTTTTATTAATAAAAACAAGATTGCCCCCGTTTCATTGTATTTTGGCATGACTATAAAAGTTCACCTGTGTTGTTGTGATGTAGGCAGAGGAAGAGTTTCAAAAAGCACAGAAAGTGTTTGAAGATTTTAACTCTGATTTACAAGAGGAGCTGCCATCTTTATGGTCAAGGTAAGCCAAAGGATGTGTGCATCTAACTTTTAGAATTTGTAAAGTCTATTAAGAGAATGAGGCACCAAACACCTACTGGCTGAGGGGTGCTCCAGGTTCACGCCCTGCACCTTACCTACAGTGGCTCTGGCTTCAGTGTGGCTCTGACAGCATGGAGGACAAAGAACAGGCAGCAGCATGAGGTGCACAAGCAGCAGCTAGTGATATGCTGTTGGTGACAGAGAGGTCACCTCCTTATTTTGCTGCTAAAAACTGGTGTTTAAGTGGCCACTCAACATGTATGTTGGCAACAAGAAAAAGGTGACATCTCTCCCAGCAGCAGTGAACCTCAGTCCACTGCCCTGTACCATGTGCTGCTGTTGTCCAGGGCACAGTGCTGGCCAGTTACACCTCTGCTTATGATACTGTAGTTATTACAGTATCTGAGAACCTTTCAATCTTCATCCTCATGAATTTCCTTTGAGGTTCAGAAGTAATATTATCTCCATTTTGTGAGTTGTCCATGGTCACGGAGAAATATCTGGCAGAACATAGAACTGAACATTCTCAACCTCTTGTGGCTAGCCCTGTTGCCCAAAGATTTCCTGAAAGCTGTCCTAACCTTTCAAAAAAAAATCCAAACTGGTTTTTATGCCAACCTTTAGTCCTATGCCACTCCCCATCAGTGTAAAAATGGCCAACATTTTGATAAGCTAATATGAAGTACAAAGTAACCATGTATCTCTGAAAACTGAGAATTAGTCTCTCTACTTGCCAGACTGATAAAAAAAATATATTATCCTGTCTTTTATGAACTATAGTAAAGTTGACATGTTATGATGCATTAATTTGTTCATAAGAAAAGACTTTCACAAGTTTATAATAAATGTATGACAATTCTTTTCTGCAAACCTCCTGTAAAGTAAAATATCAACAAAAGTGTAAGTAATGAATAATAATATTTACCTATAACTGCTTCCACCTATACTCTTTTTATGTTAGTACTTTGTATAGTTTGAGTCCCACATTGGATGTAGGGTATAGAGGTTTTATATGATCCAGGATCATATGCATTGAAGATGGGTAATCACAAATAAAAGTGTTTGGAAGACTTCCAGTGTAAGAGATCTTGTTTTCATTCAGATGGCATTGTTTCTTGTGTTGCAAGTTAGTTTAAAAAGAACCAGAAAAGGGTGTATGGTTGTGACTTGTAGTGAACAAAACTGATAGAAATAGAGAATATAGAGAAATAGTTGTCTCATCTGAGTGCTACATTCTTTGATGCTACATTCTTTCAAGTGACACTTGAAAAAAAGTGTTTTGGTTCATCAGAGCTGCCTTTTGTTTCCTATTGCTCTCTAAATTAATTCATTTTAAAAGTGAAATCAATAGGGATTTTCCTATTGATGCTGTTAGTCCTATCAGCTAAGAAGTCTCATGTATCTTCAATATATTTGTTTTATGGGATGGGGAAGGAAAAAAAAACCTGTTTGAATGGTTTGGAGTACGTGTCTTTTTTATTACAATATGTTCCCTTCTAACTAGTCTAAGTGGTTGATAGAATTTCATTGTATAGTTGAGCCTGCAGACATGGTTCAGAAAGCACATTCATTCAGAGTCCTGTTTTTAGGTCTGTATAGCTTTACAGAGAAATTGGGCTGAAATTTCTCAGGCTTGTCCTCAGCCCAGAGTTGATGGTTTGCTTTGTTATTGTTTTTTGTTTTATTGGTTAAAATTTGTTGAAATTGCACGTAGAATTTCTTAGTGGAGGCAGGAGAGAGGAGAATTGGAAATGATGGAAAACTCAGAACAGTTTCAAAATGTGCTTATACACATGAAGTACAAATATTTGCTCTACCAAACTTTGCAAATATTTGCATGCATCTGCAAATGTGTATTTTATATTTAAATGTACTTTCTTTTACATATATATGTATATTTTGCAGCCACAATTTATGTATCTTCTTTGTTTTAAAACATGCTACTAATGATCAAATGTTTTAACTTCACAACAAATCTGGGTGATTTTTTTTTTTTTTAGGCAAATGCTAAAATAATAAAATATGGTTTCAATCATCTCAAACTGTTTCTGAATTCAGGTTGAGTTAACCAGAACTTTTCAGGTGGGGGTGGAAAATCAGGATTAGATTAATAAAACTGTTTAGAAGGTCCAGTTTTGCACTTTGGCCCCAGGCTGGACAGACCATACTCACTTATCTTACAGACATGGTGCATGCGCAACCCAGGCACATGTAAGAGAGGAAGGAGCATGATTAGTTGCTCTGTGGGTGTGGAAAATGTAAAGTCTGATCACTAGTAGGAAACATGAGAAGATGGAGCATGTTTATTTGCTGTGTGGAGATGGCATATGTACATTTTTTACAACCATATGAGCTGTGAGAGATTGAACTAGTGTTCAGTGAAGGTGGAGCTGCTAAAATGAGAGATGTCTGCTCAGCATATTAAATCAGATTTTTTTTAGAGACTTATAATTTGGTTCCAATCAGCCAGATTGTCATGATGACAGCCAAGGGCATATCCTGGACACAGAGCCTACCAAACGTAATGTCCTTGCCACAAATCACGGGAGTACTAACACTTTTCCAAAAGAAGTTAACAGATTTTTTTCACATGGGCAACATGCAACCTCAGTAGTAAACAGGAGTGATAATTCTGCCTACGTTCTCAAGTTCATTAATGCCCCTATATATTTGTCTGGGATGTAAAAGGCCAATAAAGAAGATGGATATGGAATTCATACTAATATAAGCCCCTATTATGCCATCAGATGTTAAATGAACATCAGGGCCACATTCATCCATCAGTCTACTTCTGTACTTTAGAGTTAAATAGATATGGCACGTTTAATTTTATTAAGTACTTCTGTTTGGAAAAGTTAAAAGCAACTGAAAGCAGGGTCTTTGCTGGAGAAGTATCTTGTGAACTTGATAGGCAATACTATTAGTCCCACCTATAATAAAGTCTTAAGATGACTGATTTACTATGGAAACAATAACTTTATAAATACAAAGTAAAATTTTCCTTTTATATACATGCCTCAACTATATCAGGGCATTCATTATAGTATTTTAAACTGTGTTATAATTTTAATCTTGATATAAGGCTATAATGTATAATGTGTGCTTACAATTCATTTCACAACAGTCCACAAGTATTCTTTCTCATAGGAGTGCTTTCCATGCACAATGATAATATGATGATGGGGATTGTACTTTACATAATAGACACTGTTTCTGTTTGGCTTATTACTACAACTCTGAAAAATATATATATATAAAAAAAAAACTCTGAAAAAAAAAATGTATATCTTTGCCATCCCATGGCCCTAAGCCTTTTCCTACTAAAACGAGTTGGAAAATTTTAATTGAAAGTGTTTTTCATCAGAAAAGGCCATTTTGATAAATTTGAATTCTTTAATGAAACTGTATCGACTGTTATGTGTCTTGTGAGACTGAAGAAAAATGAGAACTAAATTTCACTTAAGAATATGAAAAAGTTTCTATTTTTGTTTAATTTTATGGATCTGTTTTTCATTTTTATTATTTTTTTAATTTATAAAATGTCCATAGCAGTTTAGTATTGTCACTATCATAATATTCATAACTAATCTTAACATGTCAAAATATGACAAAAGTTGAAATATCCTATTTTACTATTTTAATTTTAAAATCACTAAGGGCAGATGCTACATATTGATGAGTTAAACTCCTTATCACCTTTCCCCACCACCTGCTGCTCATGCACTAGGCCACGGCTCTACCCTGTCACCATGGTCCAGCTGACACTGTTGCTCCCCGCAGGCCATGGCTCTACCTTGGGGAGGAGGTGGGGTGGTGGGCAGTGTCACCTGTGCCTTCCTACCCCCTGACATGTCATCTATGCCATCCCTCCTCTCTCCCGCCCCATAGATGCACCTATGGGGAGCTGTAGGAGCTGCTCTCCATGCTGCCTGGTTGTCACATACATGTGTGCACATGCACATACATGGGGCACCCCCTATCTGATCACTGTTCTCCCATTTCCCCAGCCCCAAGCAGTCCTTGCAGGCTGGAACTCTACCAGCCTGCAAGGGAAAACCCACGGTTTCTCATGTTTTTCTCCTTTAAAGGAGACTCTATTTTTAAAGTTTCTTGATCCGTTTTTTAAAGTTTGTTCATGACCCTTCCATATATTGTTATGACCCACTTTTGGAACACAACCCACAGGTTGAAAAACAGTGCTTTAAACTATACATCCTTTTTCAGACGTGTCAAAAAAACGTGATGGATATGCCAAGTCTGTAGAACGTATTCTCTTCTATTTAAAATAGGCAGCACAGTTTAGGTGGCTAGCATGGTCAAGAGACCATTAATTGGGGATTTGGGAAAACTGGTTTCTATTTCAGGCTCTGCCACTGACCTAGCATGAGACTAAGGGCAAATCACTTTTAAGTACTTCTCTTTTCTCCTCCCACCTGTCAGTCTGTCTTACTTAATTAGATTGTGAAACTGCTTGGGAATGTCATTCCATTCATTTGGAATTTGTCTAGCACAAAATATACCTGTCTCACAACTGTTATTATTGTAATACAATACATGTATATAACAATAATTCTGGAATGCTAACACTGCAATAGTCTCCTTAAAATTAATGCTTCTCATTTTATATTGATCCTTATTGCATTTGAGCCAGTAATAATATTTTGGGGACAGATTTGCCCACACTCAGTCTTATTAATTTCCTCCGTAAGTATTCTCCTGAAATAAATGGGATCACGTTTGGAATACAGTAATCCTTAACACTGAAAAGTAAAGCAAAATCTTGGCCCAGAGGTGTGTAATTTAAGAAATACTTTGGTCATCAGTAAAAGAGGATAACATTGTTTAATATTGTGCCAGTATTGTGAAAGAAATTAACATCTCTCCTTTTTTTTCTCTGCACACTTTTTTGCCTTTTCTGTCATCCCTTCTTAGACGAGTTGGCTTCTATGTGAACACATTCAAAAATGTATCCAGCCTTGAAGCCAAGTTTCACAAGGAAATAGCTCTGGTAAGTAAAATTGAATGTATTGTGTGAATGATATAGCAAAAGGATGTCCTAGTATAAAGCTGTAAAAAAATCTATTAGCAGTGTGTCTGAAAAGTTACTCTTACAGCCTTTGGATGCCTATACACGAGCACAGAGGCTGCTTCGATGTGCTGGAATTCCAGTAGGTTGGAACAAACCCAGTTAATTGAGTCTGCTGGAGTGTGGCAATTGCCACGCTCCAGCAGCCTCCTGAATCTCATGTATCAGCATCCCCACGCTTAAAAATGGCGCTGGGGGTGGTTGAGCTGAAGCTTGTCAAATGAGCTTTAGTTCAAGTACCCCCACTGCCATTTTTTAAGCATGGGGATGCTGATACAGGAGATGTGGTGTTGCTTTAATTTAGAGTGGGTCTTGGACTCTCCTTAGTTAAAGCACCAGCCCCTGGAGCATGCGTAAAAGTGCCTTTTATCTCCTTTATAGTATAGTACAAATATTAGTTTTCATCACATATTTTTTGCATTTTTGGATTATAATTGAAATGCAATTTCAACATTCAGCTGGGTTTTTAAAAATGTTTAGAGTCTCCACATCTCCCCCCCCCGCATATTATATTTTGAAATTATTATTTTGTATTTTGAAATTACTGTGTTTTGAAATTATTATTTGTACAGTAAGGTTGATAGGCATCAGTTGTTATTATTAGTGTAACATTGCATCATCCCCCTAAGCTCAAGAAGCAATGTTTATACCGCTCCCTTCAAGGTCTAGAAGTAAACTGCCAGTAATTTATCAGTACACCTATGATTCTCAGGCAAAATACAGTTACTTCAGAAATACCTTTATGCATACAGGACCTGAAGGCTGATTTACACACCCAAATCAGTTAAATTAAAATAATATCTTGCCATATTCCAAATAGAATTTACACGGTCCCCTACGTTTGTAGGCAGCCAGTTTTCTGAAGGTATAAATAGAGGTAACCACTGCATCAAATGATACAAATATAAACTGCTGTGATGTAACTGTTATACTTGTAAACTCCAGTAGCAATACAGGCTAGTTAAATTGCTGTAATTGTAACCCTGAATGAAACAGGTTTAAAATTGGATCAGTATACCAACAGGAACATTAAGACAAAACCTGATGTATGTTCCCAAGTGGTGAGTCCACCCCATCCCTTTTTTAAAGTTGCCAAAAATTATATTTGTCTGTAATGTGAAAGTGTCCACAAGAAGATCTATTCTAATCTCCCTTGTAGAATACAGTCATAAAATAACCTATAATAAAACTCTATAACCTGCAACAGCTAACATGTAGGAGGGACAAGGGCACTGCCAAAGCCTTGGTACTGCAGTGGCAGAGAACTAATTAAGATATGCTCAGATAATCCCAGGAAGAGGATAAATGAGCAAACTAAAAGCACCACGCAGACCATACCAGTCTTCTTCAGGGAAAAGTTCCTTTCTAACCCCAAATGTGATGATCAGTTTGACCTTGATTCATGGGATAGGCATTTGAGAGGTTTGTAGTACCTTTGGGACCACATTTGGAATAAAATCATCCTTAACATCGAAAAGTAAGGCAAAATCTTGGCCCAGAGATGTGTAATTTAAGAAATACTTTGGTCATCAGTAAAAGAGGATAACATTGTTTAATATTCTGCCAGTATCGTGAAAGAAATTAACATCTCTCCTTTTTCTCTCTGCACAGTTTTTTGCCTTTTCTGTCATCCCTTCTTAGTCGAGTTGGCTTCTGTGTGTACAATCTTTTAGTTAATAGTATAATCTTTTATCTAAAAGCAAGTTTATCAAACTTGTGTTTGTCTCCCTAGCTATGCCACAAATTGTATGAGGTGATGACCAAATTGGGAGATCAGCATGCAGACAAGGCCTTCACTATCCAAGGAGCACCCAGGTGAGAAATCATTTATTAAAGTACAGTGAGCTGTCACTTTTCTATCAGTCAGCTACAGCACATGGACTAGTCAGCACTGTGAAATCAGCTGCAGATATTTAGGGACTCAACAGGGCAAATTAGGTGAATAAGGTCTACCTAGTATGAGTAAACAGTGCCAAAAGGCGCTTAGTTTTTTCCTCACTCCCTCTTCCTCCTCTTCCACTTCCTCTTCTTCCTCCCCCATTTCCTGCCTTCCCTCAACATTCAAGCCCAGTCTCAGCTGGTGTTATTGAAAACAGCTCCACTAAAAATACATGGCACCAATTTGCATTTGCTAACTATCTGGCCCTTACATTCTTATACACTGAGCTTAATAAAGCATTGCCACCTTTCATGTTTTTATTACAAGTCTTGAGACTACATGTTATGTCCCTGCCTCCCAATTGCTTTTGTCAGGAGTGAGGGAGAAAAGAATTTCCGTACCTGCAAAATAATATCTGTTGGTTAATACAATCTGAGATAATTCTTTGCTATTTTATTTTTTAAAATCTTTTGGTTTTTGAGCTTTCTGGGTATCACAAAAGCTTTTTCCCCCAAAACATTATGTGGCTGTATGATTATTCTTACTACCCAAGTTAGAAAGCTTTTCATTATTACATTAAGATTTAGCATCAGGGTAAACCACTAACATCTTTGAGCCCATCTGTTTTGCCAAAGACCCGTGTAAAGCTAACTGCAGAACACATGCTGAATTATTTTATGTTCCAACATGCATTGAATCTTGTATGAAATTCAGTCTAAAACCTTTGAGGAATCTATTCATTTTGCTTAAAAAAAATTACTCTGGAACTCAGGAAGCAGTCTTTGCAGGATAATACAATGGGATAACAGCTAATGTTATTAATGTTATTACTGCACAAGGTAAAGATAGAACTATAATGAAATTTGACCTTTGTCCTTAGAGGGTGAGAGTTAAGGGGAGAAAATAATAATAATAAAAAAGTTTTAAAATTGTGCATGTTAATGAATACTGGAGGTAACTAAAATAGATGGGAAGGAATGTCTTAATAACTTCTTATTCCTTTTTTAAAATATTTTCACAGAGAGAGGTGGTGAGTGTGAGCTAAAATATGTCCTTGCCAAAGAATAAATTTGCTTTGCTTTAGTATTAAGGCCATGATTGTGAGCTGGTCTCTTCAATCATGTAATGCTTTAGTTCTGTCTAAAGACATATAGGAATGGTCCTCCTCCTATTAAATGCAATGCTCATAGACTGGCATAGCTTCCAGGCTCTTTCATTATAGAATTTAAATTCTGTTTTCTTGAATGTAAGCTTCAGAAATATTTAGACACCAGAAATATCTCAGACCTTGTGGCAGGTTCTCACATGGTCTAAATAGCATATCTCTAGGGAAGACAATTGAGTTATGCTAATTTATGCCAGTTGAGGATCTAGCCCTATACTCTCACATAACCTTTGCTTCCTGATTATATTTCTTGTTGCTGCTGTTTTTATAACTTTCATTTTTTATTATTGTGCCTTTTAGGGAACTGAATATCCTAGGAGCTTTTTGCATGAAGCAAATTGATTAACAAACACTAATTTGTAGTGACATTTTACTGTCAAATTTGTACACGTGGAATTATTTAAAATACAGACTCTTTCAAAATCACATATTCTACACTTTTTCAAGATATAACTGAAGGTAAATTGGTACAGTAGAAGTTCTAGAAAGCAGAATGACTAGAAAATTAGACTTTCCTTTGACGCTATATCACTGATAGCTTGAATTAAATCACAATTTTAATTGTGCTTATTATATAAGGGACCAGATTCATCCCCATAATTCCATTGAAGTCAATGGAATTCCATCAAAGATGAACTTTGACTATTGTGTCAAAAAGATGGATGTTGGAGGTGACAAGCAAAACTGTACATTTCTCAATGGGTTCTGAAATGCTTCTCCAGGTGCATAGTCATCAAGCCTCATGATTATATACAAAGATATATAGTGTGTGTTACTTCGTGTTCTTCTAGCGACTCAGGTCCACTCCGCATTGCAAAAACACCATCACCGCCTGAGGAAGTCTCACCTCTTCCTAGTCCTACAGCTAGTCCTAATCATATGCTGGCACCTGTTTCATCACCAGCACCTGCCCGACCTAAATCACCTTCACAGGTAGGAATAAAGCTAACTGGGCTTAGGTGTTAGTTATTTAGATGTTGTTGATTTTTTTTTCTGAGAGTTCCACAGAAGATGCCATTGGGTGGGATTTAACAAGCAGGGGCTGCAAGAGAAAGGAGTTCTATATTAAGATGATGGCAGCGTGGAAAGGCTCCAAATCCATTACTTTCCCTGACTGTTCATTTCCATGTTATAGGGGGTGGTGGAAAGTGACCATAATAGGGATGGAGGAGTTGGAACATAAATTGGTATTTTGTGAATCATAGATAAAGCGTAGAAACTACTCAGAAGCCCTGTAAAGTATTGTGTATTCAGCTCCATTCAGCACATGAATTATCATTTGAAAAATTATTTAAAGACGTCGATACAAAAAGAATAGTTGATTACATTCCATTTTTTATTTCTTGCACATGTACCATTATGCCATTAAAAAGTTAGTCAAGAATTGCCATTCTGCAATTATTTCTGAAATACTTATATCTAAAATATTACTGTTTTCCTTTTTGCTTGGAAAAGGAGATAAATATGGAAACTCAAATATATTTGTGGCAATTATTGGTAAAACACATATTAGACCTGTTTTTTTCTGTTATATCAGTTTTACAACAGAGCAAGAAGTTTGACCTTTAGTGGGGTTACTTGTGATCTTACCAGTGTGAGATACAAATGAGCCTCACTAATGACAACTTCATTAGCGCAAGAATTGTGTATACTTTACAGATATATCTAAAATAGAGTTTCTGTGTTGGGCAGGAAATTAATTTCAACAAATAGGAAATAATGAATACCCTTATGATTTATTTTAAAAACATCATAAAACTACAGTGTTAAGTGGTCTAAAATGCTAAAACAAAAAAAAACCCTGTAATATTAGAGTGCATGGGGCAAAGCATAGAGTAATTTGTACTTTCCATATTGGGAGCAGTTCAGAGTTCATTGCCATTGTCTATCTGTATGTGTTGCACAGAGGGGCATTGTTTGCCTCTGTCCTCCATGCTGTTTCCAACACTTTAGAGCTAAATGCTCAGCTGACATACCTCAGTGTAGTCCTACTGACATCAATAGAAGTGCATTCGTTTATAGCACATGAGGATTTTATGCTTGGTTTTAGTATCTCTTGTAAATGAAAAAATACTGATATGTTAGGCATTATTCCAAACTATGGCTTTATTCTGCTAATTGTGCTCATGAAATCAGTGGGAGTTAAGCATGTAAATAGGAATTGGTAGTCTAAATAATTTCGGGAATCTGGGCCATAGTTTTCCATACAAGTAGCTACTATGCTAATATTACTATGCTTAAACTACTACTAATTACTACTAATATTTTTATGCTTACATAGTAGATGAGCATAAATCAGGAAAAAAACCCAATGATAACCTGAAACAAGTTTTAAAACCAGTGAATGAGACAGCTTGGTTTCTGTACACTACTGCAGTACGAATGGTATTATGGAGTAGAAGAGGGAAAAGTATTCCTGAATCTTAAAGTAACAGTTATAATCTTTTCCTAAGAATATTTTCTTACAAGTACTGCAAATCTGAGTCTGAATAGACCTGATATGTGTATTTTAAAACCATTTTCTTCCTCTGAAACCCATGATGCTGAACAATGTAAAGTTCATGCTCCTGTCATGATTTTATTATTAGGGCACTTCTTGAATAATTCAACCATGGTCAGTGGTGTTACTAAGCCAAAAGACAAAGTATTTGCTTTTGTCACACTAGCTTAAAACCTAAAGGCAGGCTCAGCAAAATGAACTTTACTTCTTTATTTACTTTACTTTTTGCTCTTTGCCTAGTTGAGGAAAGGACCTCCTGTCCCACCGCTGCCTAAACTCACACCCACAAAGGAGCTGCAGCAAGAAAATATCATCAACTTCTTTGATGACAACTTTGTTCCAGAAATCAATGTGACGACTCCTTCACAGGTCAGCCTCAGAGATCAAGGTTTGCTACAAAATATGGGTCTGATCTCATCAGCCCTCCAATTCTCCAAATGGGGAAATACTGTTAATTTCAGTTGAGATTCAGAGTGCAAAGGACTTGAAGAATTGATTTTTTTATATTACCATTGAATGAGTTGCACATAATATTCAATCTCAGAATGATAAGCAATGGCTTACTGAAAACTGATTGGCTGAGCTGACTCCCAGTAGAAGCTTTTTGAGATATTTGCAGCAAGGATTGAGACCTGATTTCAGATTTCAATACAACCTCAAAGTTCATCCCAGATTTTTTCAGATCATTCCAAACATCTTTATGCCCACTTCTGAAGATCTTTTTACTGATTCATGTATTTCATTAAGCAGATGAAAAAAGTAAGTTTTTCAGATTCTGATGCAAACAAAAAGAAAAAAAATAAGGAAAGAAAAGAAATATAGCGGTTTCAACAATGTTATGTGGGTTTTATCAATGAGTATGTGGTTTGAAAACAAAGCATTTACTTGAAGGTATCCATGCACAGCAAATCTGATTGAAGCAGATTCAAATAGTGAATTAGTGATTGCTAGCCAGAGTGGCGATAGTAGTTCTTCCAGTCTGAAATCTAAGACTGTATGCATAGACACACAATATGTTTATAATAGTGTGATAAAGACAGATCATACAAACCCATAAATGACGTTAACTTTGTTTAAATATACTATTGAATTATCACTGGAAGAGTCAGAGGTAAGATCCCATCTGTGTTAGGACTTGGTCTCCAGCCTTGTTAAGTAGGAGATCACCTTTGGCATTTAAAAGCAACCCAAGATCTACTATGCACCGCCACCACCCACCCGCCCAGCAGGTAAGTGTGGGGTGGGAAGGTGGGGGGGACAAATTGAGGCAGAGGGAGAAAAATTTATTTATGGGCTCACCTCCCCAGCAAGTAAATCCCACCCAACTGGGAACCCACTCAATTTACCTCTGCTCCAGCCTCTGTGGCACTGTCCCTCACTGCAGGGGCCTCAATTTAGCCCCCGCCCCTTCTCACCCCCACAGACTAACCTGCTGGGGTGGGGTGTGCACGTGCATGCATGCAGGCACTCAGCCCCCCACCCCAGCCTCGGATCAACTCCAAGAGGCTCTGAGATCTACTGGTGGATTGAGATCCACTAGTTGGTGACCACTGGTGTAAGATATACCAGTTTAGGGGTCTTCTGTTCATCTTCATCCTAGAATAGCTGTTTGCTAAAGGCAAAGAGGTGTTTTTGTGCTTCTTACCACCTGGTGGTGAGGCACTGTAGTAGCTTCCTGCTATGTGTACTACAGTAGGACAACTATTTGCCTGTCTGCTGTAGGTTTCGGGGTAGTTCAGGCAGGTACACAAAGCCTGTGTAAGTTACACTGGGGTACACGATTGTCTGTCTATGCTCTATGTTTGGTTTGCTTTATACAGATATACAGAGCATGAAATAATGGATGCATTTAATCTAATTTCATATGAGAAGATAAGAGGGCATAAACAGAATTAAAATGAAGTAGCATACAAATAACATAGTACTGGTTTGGGGTTTTTTCGTCTGGGAAAGAAAGGATGTTGCTGTACATTGCTGCTCTTTCAAACTGTGCTGGCAGATGTTGCCAGAGAGGTGTACTGAATGGACACATCTCCCATCTGCAAAGCTACACCCACTTCTCTGGGCCAATATTACTAAGAAGGAAGTTTTTGCTGACTGAGCTGTCAGCTTGCTGCTTCTGGGAGCATGAGTCCTCAAGTGTGTAGAAGCCAAAGAAATTTACAAAGTAAATGATCCTTAAATGACTCCATAAATTGCATTCCCATGATACTTGTGACCCTTTTATTCTGCCAGATTGATATAAAGGATCCTTATTACAACTAAAAATTCAGGCTATATGATATATGGACATAGATATAGATATAGATTTGGTTATACAAAATGTATATAACACATGAAGAGAGGGAGAGAGACTACTGTGTGTTTTTATTAATGTGTGTTAATGACTTTTGTACATTTCTGCAAGGGAATTAATTATAGATAATATAAGTAAAAAGAATAGAAAATATACACATATGGTTCTTGTACATAATTTTTATTTAATATTATTAATATGGTACTGTATTTTTCCCATTGCTTCTGCGGTACAAGTCTGAGTGGCTCTATCTGACAGTAGAAGACAGCAAGTCTTCAAGCCTATAGAGCCCTCTAATGGTGCAGGGCTTTACTGTTTTCCTTGGCACTTTTACTGTTAGCAGAGTCAACGTTTATGAATGATGACATGCTACTGTATGCACACGTTCTTCTAAAAGTTGTTCAGGGCACACAAGTCCATTTCTTGGCAAGAAGGCACATAGGTCCATTGGTAAAAGACAGATATAGTGAAGGAGGACATCTTTGGAGATCCTAGAAAGGTGATGATTTTTGCCAATGCTTATAGTGTTGCCCTATTTTCAGGTATTGAACTACCAGTTAAAATACATAGCTGTTTGTTGTAGGTCTTTTATAACATGGCTGTGACTGTAGCATCCAGGGCCCAAACAGATTAGGTAGAGATGAGGAACATATGAGGTAAGCAGCCCAACAGCTTCTGTTACTTTCTGAACATAAAACTCCACTCTGTTTATTTCAGAGTGACATTAAGTCATTTGTTGAACACTTCAGAAAATTCCTGGGAGGATGGAGACTAGGGCATTCAGATCATACTTGAAGAGGATACTGGCCAGTTCCATTGACTCTTGAAGGAGCAAAAAAAACCCCATTCCATTCATGCCCTCTTGTTCCTAGTTTGGAGGGACTCACACTTCTAATGGCCTCACATAATTTTTGCACTCTGGGGTAATAATAGTTCACATTGCCAAGCCCTGGAGTGAAAATATGTGTATCTCTGGCATACATGTGTTTAGACAGGCATAATCTCACTTTTTCCACAGTCCTAGGCCTTTTTGGAAGAACTCACACCAATTCTTGCCTCAGCTGATTCTAGTAGTCTGTGTTGTGTATTACAGATAGATAGATACTCACATATGATATACTATATATAGAGATATCTATATATATATCTAACGTTATGTATATTATATATCTATTGCAAATTTAGGAAACTTTTTAATAGTAACATGAAACTCATAGAAATGTCTTTTAACTAATTAATTAATCAATAGATGTTTCTATGAGTTTCATGTTACTATTAAAAAGTTTCCTAAATTTCATATAATTTAGTATCTAAATTAAACTATATCTTTTTCTAAACCATTGTCCTTACAGTTAAAATGAGTATGCTGTTCATTTCAGCATAAATTTAATTAATGATGCAATAATCACTTTAACAGTCAGTAATCAGTACCCTATCACGATAGATATTTTACTTGTCATTTTGCAGGGGCTAATTGAGACATCTACGCATTTGTTTCAGTCCTCATAAATAAGAGCTTCATTCCAGAGCTTCATTAAAAAATAATTAACTTCTCCGTTTTCAGTCGCTTTCTCATTACATACTGGTTAATACGCTGAGTTATTCCATCAAGCCATATGACAATATGCACGCTAGAACCTCGAGGGCATAATGTAATAGAATCTTACTATTGCTGACAAATGACATTGGAAAAAAATCTTAACAGTAGACAGCATTCTAGTGTGGGGGGTTTTTTGTTTTGTTTTTTTACTGGAATATTTCTAATTACTATACAGTCAGTATGTCCACATAGCACAGACTTCTCCTTAAACCAAACTGGATTAACTTCATATAAATTTCCAGGTGAAAATCACCAGCAGAAAAGTAGGGTTTTTTCCAGTATGATTTATTACGCTGAACAGAAACTGACGAATTCTACTTATAGATCATTTTCAAATCAAGTATCTGAATAAATAGTGGCCACCTTGGGCCCGATTTTCAGATTTCCAAGGTATCTAATTTGCATACATACCTTCCATGTCTAATGAGCAGACCAGAAAATTGTTCTTGCAAGAATACTTTGGCATATAACACTTCCCACTAGTACACTTAAACTTTTTTAAAACCTGGCCTTATTCTGTTAAGGCATCATCTGATTGGGACATGTGACAGTAATAAACATTTACCCTTGTATATCTAATCTAAATTTATTTTAAAAATATAGTAATTAATATTAATACTAAAAATTAATACTACAGTAATCTACACATTCCACAGTTCATAGAAGCAGTTGTCTTTCTCTCCACTTCTGAACCAAGATTTAATAAGCACATGCTTTGGCTTCATTGGTAATACTAAGATTCTCTTTTAGAATATCATCCTTAGTAATTACATGTCAGTTAAAATTGTGAGAAATAGCATCTTGCTGTGCAACATGCTAATTATTTTCTTTTATATATATATATATATATATTTGTTTGCAGAGGGCCTGATATAAATCCCAGTGAATCAGTGGAGATGCCTATATTGATTTTGCATTTTTTGGGTCAGGCACTATTTGCTAGTTCATTAGTAAGGTAGAACTATCGTAAGAAATGAAAGGTATTTATTTGAGTTTGGAAAACAATGTGAAATTAGATGTGAATATGTATTTGCTTTCAGAAGTGAAATTTGATTCATACATATCGATAGCTCTTTTCGGTTAATACTTAACAGTTCATGAAAAATGTTAAGGTTGAGTTTGTCAGCCCAAGGAAGCTGGATGCCCAATAAAATCCTGCTGTGTGGCTCTTCTTTAGGCTGTCTCATTGTCTGAGTGCCCAATTTGAGACATCTCAGTTAGGCCTAATAGTCAGAAGATGGTGTCTCAGCATTTTAAAAAAAATATCTGCTGCTGTATGCACAGAGAATTGTTAATGCTAAACCTTTGGACAATTTTCAGATTTTCTACCTCTTCTGTTATAGCTCTGAAATATGTAAAGATCTTTTCCCCCCCACACTTGCAAGTAGATAAGAAACAGTCATGTTTTGCTTGCATAACATGGTGTCTGTAAGTCCTAAGACTGTGTTTCTCCTGTAACAGAATGAAATTCCTGAAGCCAAGAAAGAGGAATCTTTGCTAGATCTGGATTTTGATCCTTTCAAGCCAGAAGTGATATCGGCGGTACCAACACATTCCCCCATGTCTCAGGTATTTCTTTACTTGAGATCTGCTAAGCATGACTACTTTATGCTGCATCAAGAATTTCCTAATCAATCAATAAGTGATGGCCTTGCCGTTTCTGGAAAACTGCCGTTTACCCAAATACAAGACAACCTCGAATTTATGACGACCCTCCCCAACCCGATGAGATTCTATACACGGACAATTTATGAAGGATCATCTTCAATTTGCTCCCCCACCCTTCGCTGCTGCAGTGATGAAAGCAGTGGCAGGGGGGCAAGCAGTGGCGGGGCACAAAATAGGGGAGATGTTAGGCGGGTAATATGGTAGATCTTTCTGCATAGGTTTAATTAGGCGCAGATACTCCCAGTTCAGTAATGCCTGTGCTCCCTGATGATAGGGAGGAGAGAAAAAGTGTTCTACTAATATGAGACACTAGCCAAGGAGACCAGCCATCTGTTGCTGAAGGCTTGAACCCCGCTGCATTATACCATTTTTTAAGCTCTGAGCAACATTTTGATACGACTCTCATTCCTTTCTAATAAAGTGTTCAGTTCTTTAAAAAGAACATAGGGAACCCTTTGTTGTGCTCTCCCTGGAATCCATCTGCCATCTTTTTGCTTTGATGGAGTTTCTTTTCTAGGTATAGTATATAACCTGATTGACTTACCTAAGATAAATCTATTCTAGTCCTGGCCACTACAAGAATAAAAGTATATGATTTACATGTGCATATTAAGGCAAAGCAATAAACTCTAGTGCATACTGTGCTGAAGTTTATTGCTCCTGGAGGCCATGTTTACATGTGCACCCGGGACCATAGCATGTTGAGCTGGATCTGAGCAGCCCCGGCTGTCACAGGGCCCTGGGGGTCAGCCTGCCACCCCAGGGCTGCCTTGACCCAGCTCAGCATGTGGTGGAAGGGCTGGCTTGGGGCACAAGGGTGCTCCAGCGTGGGGATAGCCAGCAGGCAGCCCCCTGCACGGAAGCAGTCTTGGGCCCTAGCCAGCCATGTCAGCATCTATGCATGCACTGCTGCAGAGTAAAAAAACTCAGCTGCAGCATAGTACTTGTATTTACAGGTAATAATAACCCGCGATGGAGTTAATTAGTTTACTCCAGCCTAACAGCCCTAATTAGTTTACTCCAGCCTAGTAACCATCTAGACACTGAGATGAGTACTGCAGAGATGATTAGGCAACTGTGTCGACACAACCTGCCAGTAGGAATGTCGGGTCCAAAACAACTATTCAGGAGCCCAGTGGTAGGGGAGGAAGGAGAAGACAGGAAGTCTTGTGGCTAAAACAATGCAGGTTCCCAGATGACTTGTTATGCATTGTGCATCCCTGGTTATATGATGAGATCTGTTGTGATATATCTGTGGACAGAAAAAAAAATCACAGTATCAGCCCTCCAAGCCTCAAGTTAGTTTTCCAATTTTCATTTTACTAGGAGGGTTTAATTGTAGTGGAAGTTTGTCCTGCTTGTTTTTCATCCCTTCCCTGTTAAAACAAAAACAACAAAAATCAATAGACTGCATTGTTTCAGATTTATGCATTTATGTTAACAGAAAATACCGTCTTTGACTCCTCTAACTAAATCCTTTCATGTCCTCTTTTAATAATCCTGATTAAAGTAGTGGTAGAATTAAACTGAAAATGTTAAACTTTGGGAAGAGCAGCTATTTGCTGACAGCACAATGTATATATTTTACTAGGCTTCATTTTTTTCAGTGGAAAGAAATATTTTACTAGATAATCCTACCATGGAGTAGACTGAACTGTTTATTAGTGAAAATGTATATTGGCTATATATTTCCATGTGGGTATAGAAGAAGCATTCGCTAAACTCTTCTCCCCTCCCCTATCCTACCCCAAATAAACATGATGGTGAGATATTATCTTTTGTGAGGTTAAATCAGAGCCCTGTCTTTAGAAGGAAAGGAGGATAGCCCTGCAGATTACAGTCCATTAGTTGGACTGTATGTGACTGAGTCATTTACTATGGAGATTTATTCAGAGTGAAGTACGTGATCTCAGTATTTGAAGAGCCTTGTGCTATTTTAAGTGGAGTTAATGTTGTTAGTACATTTTCTAAATGTGTGTTTAATTTTACTCCAGACTCCTGGTTTCAGGGCACAAGACCATTTTTCCTCATGGTAAACTTTACTGAAATAGTGTACTGAAGATAGATCTAGTCAACTGTATAGGGCTGCTTCTAAATATCTGATACAACTTCCTGACTTGGGCTAAGTACAGACAGTCAAAAAGTCTCAGGTAGAATCAATCCAATCTTAGCAGGCTTTTCTAAGCTATATAGATTGAACTGATAATTAAGTGAACTCACATTCAGTTTTCAACTGGGAAAAGCAAGCAGATGCCTGCACTGATTCAGGCCAGAAGTCAGAGGGTGCTCAAGCATGCCTCCCATCCTGCCAGCCACTGCTGAGCACTGCCAAATGGGGCTATTCCCAATTGGCTGTCCAGAAAATCCCCCCAACCCCCTGCTGTCCCCCCACAGGTAGGGGAAGGAACACTGTTATCTCAGCACTGATAATTAAGTGAACTCACGTTCAGTTTTCAACTGGGAAAAGCAAGCAGATGCCTGCACTGATCCAGGCCAGAAGTCAGAGGCTGCTGCCCCTACTCCAGGGCTCCATGACTCACCCCACACCCTGTCACCTCCAACTGCATCCTGCATGGTACTTCTTCCAGCCCCATCCTGGCATAGACCCCCACCCACTGCCCCTCCTCCTCCTGGCTCCACAGCTCTGTTCCAGCTGTCCCACCCTCATTCCATGCCTCAGACTGCTCAGAGCTGCATGGTGGTTGCCTACCTTTGAGATGAGCAGCCATTGCAGGTAGGCAATGGCAAACAGGATGCAGCAGCAGCACATAGCTTGGGGGTGGGGTGGGGCAGTGTTACAGAAGTGCCTGTTGTGCCACACAGACCTGGTGAAAAGTTTCCTGCTGGGTACTACACCCCCACTCAGATGCAACATAGTGCTGCTCTGCTCCATCCATTGCATCCATCTTCATTCTGACCATGGATCTTCAATCAAGCTCACTGGTCCTTAGTTTTTTGCAGGCAGATTTACAGACAAGTGGTTTTAGCGCCCCCTCCCCCCCCTTTTTTTTTTATCCTCGGTTTTAGCGCCCCCCCCCCCCCATTTTTTTTATAGACTGACCATAACATTGCAGACAGTTGGTAACCCTGCCTTTGTCCCTCCTCCTTCCCTTCCTCAATTTCCCTCATAATTATAAACCCTACTAGTGTCCAATCTCAATTACATCCAGCTGCCAAGGCATACCACAGAAACATTCTGACTTTCTTTGGCTGAGCCCTGTTCCTCTCCTGTTTCCCATAATACATAGTCTTCTCCTGCCTCCCAGCTGCAAAATCTCCTGGCCTCCAATAAGTGCCTGACTTTGACATCTCCACTGTTAAAATCCTTAGGTGCCATCCATGTGAAAATGACATCAGGTTGACGCCAATTTAAATTGTTTTGGCTGTAGATATGTTTCATTTTGACAGGCAAGTTAATGCATTTCAGGATTACAGAGGCAACTACACAAGCCTGTGAAGGACCAGCATTGAGCAAATTTATTTACTTATTTAAATAGCAGAACTGAAGAAAAGATTTCCACTGACATGCCACAGTCATGCTGACTTCAAGGACAGGAGAGATTATGATGTTGTGATGAACAATGTGCTGCAAAGAAGCTTCTTCAGTACCAATGTGTGAAATTAGAAAAAAAATCCAGAATAGGTTTACAAATGGGAATGTGAATAGCCTCTATGCTGCTAATGTCAGATGCCAACATTTGGCTCAGTCCTGCTGTTCTGATTTATATAATTACATTTGTGTAAGTAACATCAGTGAAGTTCATGGGACTGTTTGGTATAAGTAAATACGACTGATTATGAGTTTATTTATTTTCAAGAAAATATAAATATTTAGATAATAGACTATTAGAATGCATACAGGTCAACTTGAACTGGGGTATGTACGCTAAAAAACCCACTTGTTATGGTGTCCCCCTCCCACAAAATCACAGCAATTGAGACTAAGATATTATTTTTAATGCACTCAGTTTAGGTTTTGAAATAATGATTTTGGCTATGCAAATGACTCTGTAGCCATAAAAACCTGAAGCATTTGATTATACAGACAGCAGGTTTATCAGGCTTTCCTGAAATTCTGGGGGCCGCCATTTAGCAAAACAGGAACCCCAATGAAATACTCTCCACCTGTGAAGTTAGGCAGACATTTGATTGTCATTTTAGAAGCTGCTTTTGATTTTAAAAACATTCTAAGCTCTCTGGAATATGATTTTTGCTCTTGGCAAAATATATCTTATTTGTTGAAAAGCATCCCAATGAGCCTTTATGATGATATTCAAGACCATTAATGTCAGGACAGACTTAGCTTGCTGTCTTTCATTCCTCCACTTATCCCTTCACCCATCTCTACTTCTGTTTCTTGAGTTGATAGTTTTCAGACTAATCCAAGATAAGCCAATTGTTTGGATTTGAAGTTTGTAACTGATTTCTCCTAAGTATACAGGTTTTCCTTGAGTTCCACCAGAGCTTCTCAAAGGGCTGGGAATCATAGTTACAGGTGCCTTGATGGTCATGGGAGGCAGAGCCAGCCACCCTGCATCAGATTTTGCTAAAGTAATCATGACAAATTCTTTCAGCTGTGGGAGTCAGCTGTCTCCTCTGCTGAGAAACCTTTGGACAACTATAAATGTGCTTGATGCCTGGTCTGATTAATCAAGTCTGCTGGAATATGCTAATTAGCATGCTCCAGCAGCCTTGATGTCTCATATATTCAGCACCCTGCACTTCAAAATGGTGGCAGGGACATTTAACTAAAGCTTCTTGAACAGGCTTTAGTTAAAGCACCCCTGCCACCATTTTGAAGTGCAGGGTGCTGAATGCACAAGATGCTACGGGCACTTAAATTAAAGCAGCTTTCAGAGCCACTCTGAAGCACCCCCTTCACCACACAGCGCATGTAAAGATACCTGTTAATTTTAGTGGTCTCTAGCCACAAGGAGGGAAACAATTTCATTGCATTAAAGGTCTAGCCTGCAGAATGAGAGACTGAGAGCAAGGCCCCTTCTAAACATTACAGGTGTCACACAATTAACTGGTTAATGCACAGTTATCTTGAGACCAGCTACATGTGCAAAGTACCTATGATGCCATGGAAAGCTCCACCAGCTTTAAGTTAGACCTTGGAAATGGGTATTAACATTATAGCTTGTTGCTGTCAAGCTTTAATTTACATGTGTAGCAGCATCTCCCCTGTGGCTGGGAGCCCTGTCTCTGACCAGGCTCCCAGTCACAGGGTTGTATCTTCCCCAGGTGAGGCTAGGATCCTGCAACCGAGGGGACTCTCAGCCCCAGCAGCTGCCAAGACCCCCAGCCCTGGGGACATGTAAAGTCCCTGGGGCTGGCAGATCCCAGCTGCCACAATCTCCCAGCGTCAGGGATGTATGAAACCCCCAGGGCTGGGAGATGCAGCTACCATGGTCTCCCAGCCTCGGGTGCATGAAATCCCTGGGCTGGGAGATGGCAGCTGCCATGATTTCCCAGTCTCTGGGGTTTCACACCCCCATTCCCCCTGCCAAAGCTGGGAGATCAGGGCAGCTACAGTCTCCAAGTCCCAGGAGTTTCATGCACCCCCAAGTCTGGGAGACTGCAGCAGCTGCAGCTGCCAGCTCCGGGGGGTTCATGCCCATTGACAAGGCTGGGGGATCATGGCACCCCACAAAGCTGGGATTGGGGTCTCACTGCACTGGCAATAAGGCACATGGGGATCTAATGTGCGATTGCACAATCATGCCTTCTGCCACACATGTGGCATGGCGGGAAGCACTATTGTGTGCATTAGATTCCATTGCTCCTTTACTTGCATGTGTAGAGGGGCCCCAAGACTCCTGAATTCTGTCTCTGGCACTTGCTGAGTCCCAATCCTTATTCCTTTTTTCTGCCTCTGTAAAAAGATATTGTTTCCATTCCTCACACAAGCACTGTGATAATATCCCTTTGTTGATCTCAGAGGCTGCCTAGGATGCTTTACACTGACCATATCTCCAACTCATATGAGCATCTGTCCCTTGCAAAACTCATGTACCGATTGATGCCTATAGATAGACACCAACCCAAACATCTGGCTTCTATTTCTCCAGCAGTAATTTTCTGTACAGGCCAGATGGGTACATAGGGGCTTGAGCTCACTGGAAAACAGCAATTATTTTGGGCTAAAAAGCATCAGAGCATCCTGCTTACTGTTCTCCTTCTTCAAAAAAATATGCTGAGGCTGATTCTGAGGAACACTGTATACAGTCACAGCACATGTAAAACACATGATATTTGAGCAGTCTGTTTTAAGGATATCTTTTTCTCTTTTCCTTTTTTCTCAGACATTGCCCTGGGACCTGTGGACGGTAAGACTAATATTTACCAGTGAGCATTGGGGTGCTTCTGTGCCTCTGATTCTGTAACATACCAGTGGATTGTAATAATTTTTGCATTAGGCAAGATTTCAGTCTTTTACACAAAAGAAAAAAGGATTCAGCCACTGAATAGACATGCTAATACTAAAGAAGAATAGGTATTTGTAACAGTGAGAAAGACAGGGCAGTGATAAGGGTGGTAAATATTTTAGAACTGGTTCACTCATTCAAGGTGATACTGCTGAGTATTTGCTGCTTTTATTTTCATGAATTTAATTGTTGTTGGAGGTTGGTGATGGAGGCTATTGGGCACCTGTTTTCAATTGCCTGAGGCCATATTTCTTGAGACCATTCTTCCAGTAGATCCCCATTTTTTCAAAATCCAATGACAGAATTTATTGTAGGTGTTATAAGTGGGTGGGCCATAAACTGGAATAATTTAGAAAACAGTCACTGCTATAGAAAATGTCATTGCCCTTCCTCTTGCCTCCTGCTGCTAATTCAGATATAATGATCCACAGGAAGAAAACAGATCATTTTCATGAGATATCTTCCCACATTTTGTTGAAGTGATGGCTGGGATGACTTCCTGTGGAGCCTAAAACTATTCTGTGACCTTTTGCAGGCATTAGTATTTCATAAATCTGTGGGACTCAAATTTTGCAGCAGTTTTGTATGAATGCATAGCAAGTGCAATGTGTTTACACTAGTCTTTTCTTCTTAAGAAGAATTAAACAGAGCCCAGAAGAAAAAATAAACATTGTTGATGTCTTGAGACGATACAACTAAACTAATAGATTTTTATAGATGTGCCTTTTTGTTACATTTTACTTGGTCAATGTTTTTCTTTATTCTAAGTGTTTATACTTCTTTCCACTCCTATAAAAACAATGCCAAGTTTCCTGGCTAGATAGTTTAGATCAAGGGTTTCTTAAGGTTCTTTATATTATGGGACTCTGCTTCATAGAGAAATTGAGCCAAATTTGCTTTTGCTCTGGACCTTATGTAGTGATATTGGTTCAACATGAGTACATGAATAGCTGGCACTTTAAAGTGGCAGCTTCCTGCACCCACTTTGTGCTGATGCAAAAGCTGAAAGAAGATGCAGGCAAAGAGAAAATCAAACTTTTTAACACTAAGATCCCCGCACATTGCCACAGGCAGTTTATATTTTTTCAATATGAATTTGCAGCTGGAAACATGGAGGAGAGCCAGTGTCATGTGATCACCTTCCCACCATTTCATAAAAACTAGGGGTTTGTGTGCCACTGATAAGAATCCATTGGTTTAGATAAACAACAGAGTTTAACTCTTGGTATTACAGGGGTGGGTTTCTCTTTATTTATTTATATGGTTTTCTTCCATACAGACAAGCAGTGAACTGGTGCAACCGGTAAGCAGGCCTACTAAAAATCTCAATCATTGTAGATGCATGGTTGAAAGTATAGTTTAATATAATTTTTAAATGCATCTATTAGTACTGCTCTTTTAGACTGCTAGCTATTATCTGCAAATGTTACCAACAACAGCTTTTCTTTAATTTGTTTATTTTAGTCATTTTCATTCTTTATATTAAAATTACCATAAGAAAACTTAATTTTGTGTTTTCTCATCAAGTCCACCTTTATCTTTTTCATCTTGTTTTTTTCTTTGCTTTTTTGTCTGCTTAAAGCCTGATTCTTCAAAAAGTCTTTCCCTGTGTAACCTGGTCATGGAGGAAAGCCCAAACAGTGGGTCAACAGAAGATGTTAACCGATCCCAAACTGATCTAGGTTCACTCAACTGGGGCCTAGATGTTAGCACGCCCAGTGTCAGCCAGGAAATCACTTCAGGTGGTTCTTTCTCTTTCCCAGAAGAGGAACAGACTTCAAGAGAACCCATTGACACACTATCTACTACTGTTTGGCCTGCTGTAAGTGAGCAGGAGAATGATGAAGCAGGGTCAGCCTCCATAGAAGAAAATGAGAGGACTTCACTGGAGGCACAGTCGGATGCTAGAAATGTCACATCGAAAGATTTGAAAATTGATCAACCTTTAGAGAGCAAAAATGGTTCTGAAATACCTGATGTGGGAACTGATAGCTTGTTGGATGAATGTGATTGTGATGTGCAAGAGACAGAGGATCAGAAGCAGGAAGAAGAAGAAGAGTCTATGTGGGCAGGTGTGGAGCCAAGTGAAAAGGTAGAGACCAGAGCTGTTAACTTCCAGGAGATAGAGCGTACAGATGAGTTTGAAGAGAGAGATTATGAAACTAAAGAAAACAGTGACATAGAACATCTTAAGGGATTAGGAAAACTAAACCATGAAATCCTAGAAATTACTGAGATAGAAACTGGGCAGGAGTCAGAAACTGTGTGGGAATCAGAATATAATAATGGGCAAACTGAGACAACTATTAATAATTACCTTAAGGAAACTGACCTAGAAAATCATGAGCAAGTAGAATTTGAAGGGCTAAATGTAATTCAGGAGATAGACAGAGAAGGTTCTGGGTGTGTACTGGGCACAGGGCTGGAAGATGAGGCCCAAATAGTAGCAAGCAATTGTAAAACTGTAGAATATGCTGACATTGAACCTGATATCTGGAACCAGGACCATGAAACAGCGTGTGTGGCTGACTTAGAACATCCTGGCAGTGTCACTGGAGGGAATACAGCCTTGGAGTGCATAAATATTATGGAGCATGTTGACCTAGACATAACTGACCACCCAGAAAAGGACACTTCATATGTTGGAAACATTGTGTATGACACTGAATTATTCAGTGCAGAAGACCCTGGTAAAGGAATTGAAGACAATAGCATGAGCATCTTCCAAAATGGTAGTGCAGCCAATGAATGTCAAGTTGACTTCGTACCCTTTGAGAAAGAATTGGCATTGCAGCCTGAGTCAGCTGACACAACTAATGCAAACTGCAATAATTCTTGTTTAGATAATATGGAAGATAAATTGATAGAGAGGGCAGCAACTGCAGTGACTGAAGACCATCATAGTAACAGTAGTATCCCTGGAGCCTCAGAAACAGATCCTTGGCTAGCAAACTGGGATCCAACAGTTAATAATGATTCCTGGGGGTTTTCTAGTCTGCCCGATGGCCAAACAAATGGGTTGGATAATTGGCCTTTTTTGCATAAGCCACAAGACTCAGAGGAAGGTAACATGGAAAACAATTGGCCAGGCTTTAAAGATGAATGGTCTACCCAAGACTTGGGAGGCATAGATAAAAGCTGGGGAGATGTAAGTGTAACCACAAGCAGTAAAATTCAGGAATCACCTTTAAAACAAGGCTCATCTGGGGAGCAGGCAAGCACTAGCAACCTTGGACCAAGCAAGGAGATAGCTAGACCCTTGGTTCTGTTTCAAATGGGAAATTCCAGAAATGCTAGCACCGAGAGTTCAACTAGTCCCAAAGACAATGAGACCAACAACTCAGATTTATCTGAAGATGAAATTGCTAACTGGAGATATGGATTGTTGTACCAGGAAACTGAGGCTGATAAAGAAGAGGTACCTACCCCAGTGTGTAGCATAGTCTAGACAGACTTCCTTAGGTCATACATAACCTTGTTTCTTATAAAAAATCCATTTACATGTTTCCCCCCCACTCCTCTAGACCCTTGCTAATCTTGTTGAAGATTTATCATTCAACTATTTGAATTGTGGTGCACTCCAACAACATAAGTATAGTAGGCTGATAAAAAAAAGGTTGACTGTTGAATGATGTTCATAAAACATAAAGTTCCCTTTGATCTCATTATTTAAAAAAATATTTCCAAAAAATGCACTTACATTCTTTTCAACATCTCAGTAGCATTCTACCTTTTTTTAAGCCTATTAAAATGTTACCAAATAGCGTTACAATTTTGATCAGCATTCTTGCTGTCTTGTCCTTCATTTTTTTTAAGTTCAGCACATTTTTAATTTGCTAATAAGAATAATTTAGCTTAATGGTCTGAGTTTAATAAGTAGTTATGACAATTTTTTTCTGATTTTTTTTCACTACTTAGGCATCCAGCAGCGCATTTAATGGATTTACACAGGTAAGAAATACTTATGGTCAAGAGACTTTTCTGTGTTGTTTAGAGTGGACTAGAATTAGCAGCATGAACTGCAGAATGCCAGGAAGGACAATACCAAACCACTAATTACTATTACCTTTTCTGCCACCACCTAACTTCATTGATATATTGCCAATATTTCAGTTAAATTTTGGACTCATTAAAGTGAATGGCAAATTTCCCATCACTTCAAGCAAGCTAAAATTTCACCCAAGTTACTATGATTTAGGTTTTAAGTTGATTTTTTTGGATTAGAGTTTACTCATGTCCCACAAACATTGGCAGGCATGAGTTTCACAAGTAGCCTAGCTAAGGGGAGCGAACAGGGCACCAGCCCTGGGTACTGACTTGGGGGCGTGTGTCCAGAAAAGCAGCTGCCACTCCTGCCACCCCAGTGCCGCCACCAATGTTATTAACCTTGCCACTGCTGCTGCTGCCTTGTGTTCTACTGCTACTCAGGGTGCAGAATTGCCCAGCTGTGCCTCTGGATTTCATATAATTTCATGAGCTTTTATACTGACTTGCATATCTTTGTCTTAATGGTTTTAAACATATATATATTTTGAAACCAGAGGTTACTTTCTGCAATATTTTGCAGAAATTACAGAATTACAGAATTATACTAATGATCAGGGATCTGGGTTTTCTGTTTCCCACAGAAAAATGAAAAAAACCCCCGTGGATTTTTCATTTTAATGGAGAAACATGTGGATTTTCCATTTTTGCAAAGAGCTCTCTGCAGGTTGGCAGAGTTCCAGCCTGTAAGGGACTGGGGAAAGCAGGAGGAGGGCGACCAGGCAGGGGGCGCCATGTGCATGTGCGCGTGTGCACGTGCACATGGCTGCCAGGCAGCCTGGAGAGCTGTTTCTGCAGGTAAGTCTGGCAGCAGGAGGGAAGGGAGGAATTGAGACTCAAAGGGAGGGAGGGAGGAAGTTGGGCAGGGCTGGGACTGGGGCTGGGGGCTGGGGCTAGGGCTGGGGCTGTTGCCCAGCCCGCACGGTTTTTGGGGACCAGGGCTGGAATTGGAAGCAGGACAGAGATGCAGTCTTGTCTGGGGTGGGGTGGGGAACTGGCTCCCCAACGCTGCGCACATTCCTGCAGAGGAAAGTGGGGGGCATGTGCCCCCCAGATCTGTGCATGGGGTTGGGATGGGATGCCCACTACAGACTTGGGCTCCCTGCCCTGCTGCCTTCCCTGCAGGGCCTTCACAGCTCAGTGGGTGGGACCTGATGCAGCAGGGCAAAGGGGTGCCGGGCAGGTAAGCTCCTTGCCTCTGCAAGTCCTGCATTGCCCTGGCAAAGCACCCCCTCCCTACCTGGCAGCAGTGGGGGTGGCAGTGCAGGGTCCCTGGCCCTATAGCCCTGGCACCTGGGGACCCCCCCTGGCAGGGCTGTGGTGGGGCAGTGGGTGGTGGGAAATGAGGGGCACCCACAGGGCTGGGAGGCTGTGGGTGGGTAGTGAGGGGCACCAGCAGGGGTGGAGGGGGCTGTGGCTTGTGAGTGAGGGGCCTGGACCTGCATTGTGGTGAGCGAAGGGGGCAAAGGGAGTTCTGATTTTCCATGATAAAAAACCCCAAATCAAATACCAACTTTTATAGATACTTAGAATCTATTTCATTATAGTGAGTGAGGCACTGGTAGGCTTCCAGATTCCTTTAAAATTGTAAATATATCCATAAAACATTGTGTTCAACTGATACCTATACATACATACATACATATATATATCACACACACACACACGTATAGATACATATACATATATATGCATACATATATATATAGTAGCATTCCATTTTAATTGTGGGTGCTGGGTTTTTAAATCAGAGAATTTGCTATTTTTATCAGAGAATTTGTGATTTTTAAACACAGAAAACCAGGATCCCTGAATGATGATATTTTGTGCTAGGTCTCTCAGAGGTGCAGCATATCAAGGTGTTGTGCCATCTTTATGCCCTTACAGTCTGATGCACCAGACCTTTCCCAGTGCAACTGAGACAACACTGGGTTGTGTTTAAGTTACAGCAACCATCACAGGTGGCAGGATGCTGCTCATGATCTCTGCAGCTATGGATATTGTGGTGCCCCTCTTCCTGAATTTACCCCATCCCCAGCACATCATCACCCGTTAGACAATCTTCAAGCTGCCTGTATCAGATCTGGATCTGAGGTTCTCACCATTGCTTTGTATTGATCCAGCCCTTTTACCTACTGTAAAGGGGAGGACTGAGGATCTCACCTTTTATTTCCATTAGGGGCAAATATTTTCACCATGGAAATCAAAAGTGACAATTTCACATACTTCAGTAGGATAAGATTTTAGGCCTTAATATTTTGTGAGTGGCCTGGCTGCATGTTGCAATCCAAATGATCCATTTTTCACTTTTGTATCTGCTAATTACAGTTGTGATTTTTCATCTACCATTTTTTTACCAGGACAATTAACATCAAGGAGACATCTTTACATTTGCAACTTTTTGTGTCCTTTTCAGTATGAAAGATCAGATGTATTCTCACCCTCTTGTTTTCTCAATTTCTGCCCCCATTGTCGAGGGCTGGACTATCTCATAGATCCAAGATGATTGTGATCAGTGCTGCTCCCCTTATGGAGCTGGGGACAGGCTGCTATAACGTAGTTTAAATTATGCTGGAGGGTACATTATAGCAGCTCTGAAGCAAAAGGGCACAAAGGTAAATTATAGACACCCTAGTCTAGTCCCCCTTGCCTTTGACTATTAATTGCGTGCCTTACCACTGAAAAGCACAGCGCAGACTGTTAGCTGGTCTGTCTGATGAAAGATGATTGTAAGTTAAATGCAAATTTTATTAGTGAAAATAATCTCATCTTTCTATTCCTACCTTAATATAAAGTTTAATAAAATATTTTTCTTTTCTTCCATTCTGTGATTTCTGAAAAAACAGAATGTGTTTGATAACCTATTTAAATGATCCATTTTTTATCTGATTCTTCACTGCTTAGTTAGGTAAAGTAACAGGTCCTCTCATGCCGAGTCAGGCCTGCATGTTTCAAACTTACCTCTTATAATATTTTTTCTTGCCTCCTTTCTCTACCTGCGCATCTAGGATACGTCTCTATTTGCAATGCAGCCAAATGAGAATGTGATAGATTCCTTGGTAAGTTTTGGGATTTATTTCATGATTTGTTTTAAAATGTTCCATCACAAATTATATAATTATGTTTTTGCAAACACATCTGTTCCACTGAGCTTCCATCATTTAAATCATGTATCCTTTAGCAACAAAACTGACCTATGCAATTGATTGTAGCTATGAACTTTTCCTCACTCAAACTCTTCCACAAAGAAAGAATAAGTTATGATCCAGAGCTATTGCCCAACCAAGAATCTACAAACCTTTAAAGGTATTTCACATTTAGTGGGTTGGGTTTTTTTTACTTTCAAAATATAACAACAGCATTCTCTTATATCTGTTGTAATCAATGCAGTCAAGAAGTGATATTAGCAACCATCTCTGTGCAATGCTAACGAAGCAGGTGCTATCCCAAAGGCAGCATTTTTATGTGCTGGTAACATAATATGATAGCTTTATCCATCCAGAAATATTATTTTAGATAAATGCTTTTCCATCTATTTAATCAGACATACTCATTTTTATAGTCATAAAAGATTTTAGTGATGTTTTTGCAAGAGATCATGCTTTGACAGGCAATTTATTCCCAGCAATTCTCTACTGCTGTCTTAATTTAGGTTAAGCTGATATGGAAGTAAAGCACCAGTATAATAGAAAAAAGGAACATATGAGGCAGAGTTTGAGAATATTATTTAGTGTTGTTTTTGTACAGTGCATAATGTAGATATGTGTCCAGAATGGTGATCAAACCCATGCTTCCACCATGCATGCGTTATACCATGGATACAGCTTGTTGTAGTTCAAACACGGCAAATTGACTAAAGATTACTCGATAAATTTAGTTGTCCTCAAGCAACTTGAAGTAAATCAATATAATCTGCATTATAACGTTGTCTAGTTTCTAAAGTTATTTACAGAATTAATCCTCAGGATACTTATTGTGGTCTTACCTAGGTAGAGCTGCCTTTTTCTTTTTTGCAGTTCCTATTTCTTTGTCTATTACTGAACAGCTAACATTAAATCAGTGCGTAGAATTGTGCTTTGCAGCATGGTATTATATAATGAAGACTTCTTTAGAGCATTTCAAATCCTGAGGTTCTTACGTAGACAAAATTCTGTTCACTTCACTAAGAGCAGCCTGTTTAAGAAATGAAAGAATGAAAAATAAGTAAAGGTCTCTAGCTATTTCTGAAAAAAATACTGGGAAAGGAAATATTTTTTCTCTCATAGAGATCTGTATAGAAGTTTTCTGTTTTACTGTGAGATCTTCCAAACAAGCAAGTGTTGTTAAATGTGACTGCAGAGGTTTGATTAAGCTAAATAAGTGAGTTGTGTAGGAAATTTGTTTATGGTGAAAAAGCCCATTAAGGTTATTTTGTCTAGTTGAGCCAGTGATTCTGTATGAATGATGTACCTTTAACTTTTCTCTATATGGGATTAATCCTGCTCTACAAGTTTTTAGCTCCACGTGAAATATAAATATGCATCAATAGCTTGGAAAGTTATCTTTAAAGAACTGGAATGTTGGGTATGTGTTGAAAATTCTCCTTTCTTTTGGGACCATTTTGTTGCAGAATTGAGACTACAGAGGACTGGTGTTCCTTGGTGCCTTCTTGTACTAATGGAACGTGTGTGTTAGAATTTAAAAGGCTCTGAATTACAGTAATGTATCTGAGAAGATGTATTCCAGTTTGGAACAAACAATATCTGCATCTGACCCCAGTGCTCTTTTTTGCCAAGGCAGGGGGTCGGACTCGATCTGTTGAGGTCCCTTCCAACCCTAACATCTATGAATCTGTGAATATATATGATATGATTACATTTGGCTTATGTGGACAGTATTTAGTTAATTTATTTTCAGACTAGACAGAACATCATTAAAATGAGTAAAAGATCAGTTAAAAAATCTTAATTAATCCTATGGCTAAGGCACTGGTCTGGAGTTCAGAGTTCAGTTTCTGGCTGTGCTACACACATTCAAAATTACCTTAAATTAATTCCTTTTAGTTTCTTTTCACCTTTTTTGTCATTGGGATGCTAATACCTCCTTTCTTCACAGCGGGGCATTGTGACAAGCATTAAAATACATGTATGGTGCTTTGAAGGCGAAAATGCCATTTGACTGCAAAGCATTAATTATTGTTAGTAAGCTCAATAAATGCTGTCTTCTCTCAGGCAAAGATCTGCACTATCAAGGCTGTTAGATGGCTTCTGTCAGTGCAAGAGGACTGCTAGTATAAGTAGAAATGTACTTGTGCACTCTTCCCCCTTCCCCGTTATCAAATGCTCTTCAATGGTTTTTCAATTTTCTACTTAAAAATCAAAACCAAATAAGGTTGAGACGGAAGAAGCTCCAGCTGTAGAACCCAAGGCTGTGGAACCCAAGGCTGACGAAGCCCCAGCTCCTCCTGCTGCTGCCATTCCTCCTGAAAAGGAAGCTCTCCCTGCTGAGCCTACTGAGCCAGCAGAGGAGGCTGTGGTGAGTGACGTCATATGCCCCAGAATTCATCAGATTCTTCTTTTCCCATTGTCTATGTGTCTACTGCATTTCCACCTCCCTTTCCATTTTTGTCATCTTTAGGACTGGCTTTCCTTACAACAACACAGCAAGCTCGCTAAATGTGTGCATGTTATGTAGCCCTAAAACGCCATTCCTCCACTGGATGGCATTTTAAAGTGAAGTTTAGTTGAACATCTGTGTATTCAGATGTTGCAAGTTTTGGACAAACTCAACAGGAGAAAATGAATTGAATCCCATTGATAAAAGGTGCTGTTGCTTTTTTGAGGAATAAGTCCTGGGCCAACCTATTTGTAGAATGCTGCTTGCTTGAGCTAAGTGACAACATTGCAGACTTCTACCACTGACTGAATATTAGAAGCAGCAGCTGACTGAGGAAAAAAACTCCAAAGCTTCACAAAAGCATACAAGGAGATGAAAAGTTCCTATGTCAGCCCTGAAGAATAGTGGAAGTGCAGTGGTTTGGGAAACAGTGAGAGCACTTAAAAAAACAACAACCCCACAGTAGGATATTCTAAGACTCCTTGCTCTTCACACCCTCCTTGTTACACTTAGAAACAAATTTAAAACCAACATTTTAAAGTAACTCACACCTATAGGTTCCTCAAGGCAGCAGTTCTGCATTTACTTTATGCTATTAGGGCTCCATTTTCCATGCTGGAGCCCTTGCTGTGTCCTATCAACCTAGCTGGGGCTCTTCTCCATTTTAATAACATGGGGGGGGGGGTGGCCCTCACAGGCTAAGAGTCTCTGAGCGAAAGGAAATTGCGTCTATTCCAACTGGTTCTCAGCCTAACAGTCTCTGAAACCAACATGAAGAAGAATGGAGTTTGACTGGAAGTCAGAAGGGTCATAGTCCATTCCCATCCAAAAACATCTGAATCATTCCTTTTTACAGTTAGCAAAATAATCCATTGAGTTATTTGATATTCCCCATCACTGTAACAAGAATCATCTATAGTCAGGCAAAAAGCTGAAGGATTTACCTGCGTACTGCTGTAGACTTAGAAGTCAGTAGGAAAGAAATGGTTTTAGTGTTCAGTTCTTCCCTTGATCTTTCTTTGACTATCATAAAACAGGTTGGTCCAATGAATAACTACACTGGGATGGGACTTAGGATGCCAGGGCTCTGTTCTTAGCTTTGTCACTGACCTTCTAGATGGCCTTGAGTAAGTCTCTGTGCCTCATTTTCTCTATCTGCCTAATAAAGATAACAGTGCTACCTTCTTTGTGAAGATAAATGGTATTAATGAGAACAGAATTAGTTCTCCCTTAATTTACTGTTTCACTGAGAAGACCATAAATACTTAATATGGATAATCTCCCTGTTTAACTAGATGATAATTCAGTTTTTCAAGGAAATCAACACAGCCACCCTCTTCAGTAAGTCAAACATATTATTTCCAGAATGTATTTATGATAACTGTACGACAGTGCCGTAGTAGGGTTTTAAAATCATCCTACTGATGCAAAGTCTGTGTTGAGTCCTAAAGAAAGATGGCCATTTATTGATATTAAAATTTTCAAAATTCAGCTTGAAATGGAGGGCAACTTCTAAGCCAGCGAATTCTCTTAGACCTATTGTTACAGGAAGTATTTCTGCAGACTCAGGCAAATGTTTTCCATCACCGCCTTAGGTCACATACAGAAGCCATTCTTCACAACCAGAAAATGAGAAGCTTAAATTTTGTAGGAATTGCTCTGGAGATCAAAGAAGGTCTAGTATTGCTTATCAACCATACGTATAGCTAACATGCAGACTGGTAAATTTTGGTGGGTGGTATAAGATCAGTAATCCTGCTGTCAGCTCTCTGTAATTCAAAAAATGGTCTCAAAGGTGAATGAATCCTTAGTAATAATTAGGTTAGCTTTAGCCTTAAGTCTCAGCAGTCATGAAGTCATTATTTCTTCCCTCTTGCTCGGGGGGGGCAAACAATTTACTGCAAGCCAGTAAAGGGTGGAGCATACTTTCACTTATGCATCTAGCTGGAGTTTTCCAGACAACCTAGATTTTTTTCTTTTGGTGTGGGGAGGGAAGGATTTAGTGTTACACCAACACTTCTTTCTTAATTTGCATAAGTTCATGCCCGATGTACACTAGAGTGAGTATGCTTAGAGGCAGCTCTCTTCAGTAATACATACAAAAAAGTCAACTGTCCAATCTGTGGCTGCACCCTTTCCTTCTATATGCTTTCTCTTGAATGGGTATAAATCATAGTAATAACTTGTCAACTCTGTGGCAAGGCAAATAGTGCAATAGCTTGTCTAGGATGCAATATTTTGTCAAATTCTTGTTTGAAATGCTTGTTGTCTAGCTACAGTATATTTGATAGTTTAATAAGGAAAAAGAGGAGTGAAACCAAACTCAATCCATAGCCCAGATCTTGCTTTTTTTTCCCCTGATAATTGGAAGAGAAGTAATTTTTGAAGAGCAAATTATAATTAAGTTGAAAAGGTTGTTTCTAAACTTGGTTTTGGGGTTTTTTGGGGTTTTTTCAATGGATTCCTAAATGGAAGAAATCTTTGAATAGTTTACTTACATACAAGGAGAGATTCTCAGTCTCCTTTTATTTTGTGCTGGGGCAAGGTGAAGTACAAAATCTGTTTTACACCTTAGCTGCTAAATCAGGGGTGGGCAAAATGCAGCCCGGGGGCCAGATGTGGCCCGCCAGGCCATTCTATCTGGCCTGCGGGGTCCCTAAAAAATTTAGAAAATTAATATTAATCTGTCCTGGGCTGCCTGTCATGCGGCCCTCGATGGCTTGCCGAAACTCAGTAAGCAGCCCTCTGCCCAAAATAATTGCTTGCCTGTGCTAAATCATTGATAGGTTATAACTGTAGTCACCACACTTTCACTACATGGCCTTTTTAGATTATACTTTTATAATTAAGTATTATTATTAATACTATTATTATTAACACTACTATTAATATCATTATACTGATTATACTTTTTGCTGTATTAATAGTATTAATAATAGTATTAATGTTATTAATATTATTATACTGATTATACTTTTTGCGGCTGTTAGTAAATGTTCAGTCATAGTATAGTCCACCATAGGCAAAAATTACAGAATGACTGTGAAAGAGGGAGACAAGTATAATCTGAGAAAAGAGAGCGTTAGTAGCACTTCAGATGAAATAAGATAAGCATTAAATGTAAGTTAGGTGAGTTTTTTTTGTTTTAAAGTTGAAATGGTCTTTGCTGATTTGCAGAAGGATCTCTGGGAAAACAAGAAGTAAAGCATGTTTACTTTAATAATGATGGAAGTACAGTTACTGTTAGAATCTGGTCCTACAGAAGAAAAACAACTTAGGGAAAATAGTTTCTAGTGCCTGTTGGAAGTTTTTGAAGCTTAAGATTAGAGAAGAAATTGGCATATAAGATCAAAGTTAAGAAAACGTTCAGTGGACTACAAAAAATGAAAACATGTCATTCTTCTGTAGCAGTTGTACATTTGTTGAATTTATATGTGTGGGTTGATTAAAAGGAAAAAAGAGAGTTATAAAATATTGACACTTTTTTCTTCTGAGGGATATCTTTCCATTATTCCTTGTTTACAGTGTCAGTCACTACTACGTATAATTCTCCTCTTGGCAAATTTACTGCAGATGATATTATACCAGAAAATTTATGATGGACATGCATTACGTTCCCTGCAGTCTGTAAGCCATTTTTTGCATAATGTAGCACTTGCTTTTAAATCAGACAAGGAAAGGTTGTCCAGCTGTTAGGGCACTGCTCTGTGGTAGTAGATTAGGCTTCACTTCTGCACTTCTCCATTGTCTTCCTGTGTTATGTTAACAAGTCTTTTAGGAAAAGAGTTGCAAAGGTATTTAGAGACCTAAACCCTAAGGCTAAGTACAGACAGTGAAAAAGCCCAAGGCTGAATTGATTCAGTCTTTGCAGGTTAGTCTAAGCTGCAAAGATTGAACCAAATAAGCAAATGAACAGACATTCACTTTTGATTCAGGAAGTGCAGCCACATGCCTGCAGTGGCTCAAGCCAGAAGGCAAGGGGTGCTAGAGCACGGTTCTCTGGTGCACAGCATGGGCTGTATGTTTACTTCCTTTTCCTGCTGCCCCAAGTTTCCTGGGATTTGCAGTCCACAATCACAGCAGCAGGACTCTGCAGGGTTGCTCATCACTTCCTCTTCCTGCTTCCAGGTGCCTGTGGGATTTGTGGTCCACAGTTGCAGTCAGTGGTAAGTAAGCAGGACAGGGCAGTTTGGTACTCGGGGGAAGGGAAGTTTAACCCTCCTCCCTGGCCCCAGACTCCAGCAGGGGGTGGGGAGCATAAACGATGTGTACCCCCAGAGGCTGGGGGGGCACGGTGACTGCCTGTAGGTGGCGGTGGCAGCAGCAGAGGCATGGCGGTGGCAAGCAGGGAGCTCTTGCAGGTGGCCACAATGGTCTTGGTGGTTGGCAACTGCTGATCAGTGACCGCTAACAGATGCCACCAGTAGTGTCAGCAACACAGGGGGTGGCAAGCAGCAACTGCCCGCAGGCGCCACTGGCAGCATCGGCAGCACTTCTCTAAGGGCATACACATACACCTGTGTGCACTGCTATGCGTTGCTATTGCTGGGGGTGCTGCCAGTGAGCCATCCAGTGAGGCCTTTGAGCCAGCCCTCAGTGTTCCAGCTAGGGAGCAGAGGGGCAGGGCCAGCCCTGTTCTCTGGAGCAGACAGCACAGCACAGCCCATTCCAGGGCTACAAAATGCTGTGATGCTGGGGGACTCTGATTTAACTTGAACCAGGAAGGGGTCTGGGACAGAAGTTGCATAAACCGGTTTGACCTAAATCAATTAAGTCTCATACTACATTCAACCAGGTTTATTACTTAAACCAATTTATATGTAACTTCTGTCCCTAGCCCATTGGGTTTTCTAATTTGCCTGAAGTCATATTTCAGTGGCATAGGTACTTATATAAATACCTCTACAAATTTTGACTAG